ATCGTCGTATTACTATTACTTCCTTTTATTAGTTATTACTATTATTAGTATTAGGTATTATCATATCGTTATGACTATTATTAATATTATTATTACTTTATTGTTATACTATCATTATTATTGTTATTAGGTATTATATTATTATTCTTCGTAAATATTATTATTCGACGTGCCACTGTCACGAAACTCTTTGCCTGTCTATTGCTTTGTTTCGTTACGTCACGGTCGGCACTGCTACCAGATCACGAGAAGTACTGACACGAGACGTTATACATCGTTATAAGTCTCACGCTTGATTATATACCTAGTGCAATACGTGAACGTTCCACATATATCAAAGTATTTGTACACGTTCCATCTACGCTCGACTGTGAATCGTTCCAATTTCTTCCTCGAAATTGGATCCGATCGACATTACACCGAAACAGATGCTCCATAACAAGCATATGAAACACGAGTACTCTTTCGTGAACCTGAGTCCAAAAATTCATGCGATCGATCCGACTTCTGCATATACATATACATATACATATACATATGCATACACATACATATACATACACATATACATACATATATTAACACATATATACAGGGTGTCCCAAAAATGTAGTAACTCCTCAAAAGGAGTGATACCTGAGGTGATTTGAAACAACTTCGTCGTTAGCGAAAATCTTCTGCGACGCTTTGTTAACGAGATATTAACAAGAAACCCTGACCAGTTAAAGCGTGAGTCCGCCGGCTGTTCCCGCGGTAGCGTTGGCTACACGCTGCATTTGTACCGCGAGCAAGCCGGCATGCGTTGAAGAAAACTGAGTAGAATAGCACATGAAAGAGACGTAATAAATAAAATCGAATTTTTGTCATCTTCTGTCAGTCATTTAAAGTGAATAACGAATCATTTTTCCCTCGATGCATGCCGACTTGCTTGTTCGTAGTACAAATGCAGCGACCAGCAGACTCGTGTTCTGATTGGTCGGGAATTCTTGTTAAAATCTTGTTAACAAAGCCTCGGGGAACATTTTCGCTATGGGAAAAGTTCTTTCATATCACCCCAAGAATCATCGCTTTTAAGAAGATACAACATTTTTGGGACACCCTGTATATACAGCATGTCTCAGCTAACTTGATCACTTCCAATAATGACTTAACTCAACATCAATAAGTGTCGAGGTTTAGCTGGGATTTACCACCTCATGTTACCGAGTTTACCGACTGTACGTGCTTTTTTTGTGATTGGAGGCATTTCAGAGATTTCAAGATAACCTTGATTTTTTTTAACGGAATGACCTATTTTTTATATCATAAATCGATAGAGTATCAAATTCTGAGTCAAATGTATTGACCTTCATACGCCCTAAACCTACTAGTTAACGGGATATTTACAAAATAATCACTGTATTGAAGTTGAGAGGCATCAGTTCGAACACCTACAGTGAGTGACGAAAGTATTCAAACCCTCTGAAATGAAAAGTTTGGCGCTTAAAAAATAGGAGATCAATTACGAATTACAAAATACGTTTATTCCTATAGTAACACAAAACTATTATAACTATGCGTGTTAAATTTGAAGTGTGGCCGATAAAGTAAACAATACTTATGACAGAGTTCTTGGAAACATCGGTGAAACGGACACTACGAAAGTATTCGAACAATGAAACTTGTAACACAAAACAAACCTTGAAGTTGACAAACTGTAAACATTGACTTCCTCATTTTATGTTAAACACTTCCCGTGTTCAGTACTGCTAGTGTTAATAAGATTATAAAAGTTATATTAATAATGTGCCTCAAAAAATCAGGAACAAGCATCACTGATAGAAAATTGATAATTAAGTGGCATAATGGAGGCAAGAGCTATAGAGAAATAGCAAAATTGTTAGGCACGAGTAAATCTACCATTTTCTACATAGTAAAAAAGTTCAAAGCTGCTGGAGTCTTACAGGATGAAATTCGTTCTAGTCGGCCAAAGAAATGAACGAAAATAGAAGAAAATGCAATTGTGCCTGAAATCAAAAAGGACCCAACAATGTCTGGTCCAAAACTTGCTACACTAGTAGCTGATAGATTTAAAAAACAAGTGCATCCTGAACTTTGTCGAAGAATACTTCGTGACAATGATTTTCATGGTCGTATTCCTCGAAACAAACTATTTATTAGCAAAGTCAATAAGCAAAAGAGACTAAATTTTGCTTAAAAATATGTTAACAAGGACAAAGAATTTTGGAATGACGTTATTTTCTCGGACGAGAGCAAATTTAACATATTTGGATCGAAAGGATGTCATAAAATTTGGAAGAAAGCAAGTACAAAAAATCGATCTCAAAAATCTACGCCCAACTGTGAAGCATGGGGGTGGATCCATAATGGTATGGGGATGTATGGGGGCCCGTGGAGTTCGAAATCTCGTTGTCATTGAAGGAATATTAGATAAATATAAATATCTGCAAATATTGAAAAATAATTTGCAGCAAAGTGCGGAAAAATTAGAAACTGTAATATTAATTCCAAAGAAGCATTAAAAACAGATTTTGGAAGCCGGAAACAATATAAAAAAATATACTACTGAAAATTTGGTTGGCAGCATGCAACGACGTTGTTAAGCGGTCGCCTGGACCAGTGATAGGCAACCAACGTACGGACAAGTGACGGGCAGCCGCGGACTCCTGTGGAGGGGATGCGCGACAGGAAACGTCGCTCGTGTATGAAGTGAGCTATAAATACGCGCTCTGACTCACACATTTCCCCCACCACTAGTATGTGCCCGCACGCTGCCCGCCAGTGAGTTTGGCGGGCGCTGAGTTGCCCATCACTGGCCCAGACCCTGACACTTTCTCACCGCCTAGAAGTCGCCACTACGAATAAGCATCTTCGCCACCGTAGACGAAGAGCACCGCCGGACCTAGGATGCCAGGAGACAACTCTAGGCTTGGACTAGTCGTCGCCATTGTTGATAGGGTGCCGACTCCAAAAAGAGGTACATTCCAGGATGTCGCCTATGCGGCGCCAAAACCGAGCGCTCCCACCATCCAGCCTCCACCAACGTTTAGGGAACTATCAGGGATATATATAGAGGTTCTAGCGTGCCCTCGGACCACTTCGCGAGCGAACGTCAATTGTAACGACATCTTATCCTAAATTTCCGATCTACAGTGTATACCATAATATTTTAATAAAATTGTTTGTAAGGAGAACACGAGTGTCCTTCACCACATAACAACGTTTACAAGCCATAATAAGTGCTCATGGTGGGCCGACAAAATATTAAAACATTATATTTGTTTAAAATATATACTAAAAATTTAGTCGCTCGAATACTTTTGTGGTGTTCATTTAGTTAATGTTAGCAAGAACTGTGTGTTCTAAGTATTATTTATGTTATCAGAGGAACTTTAAATTTAATACGTATAATTATGATACTTTTATGTTGCTTAGGAATAAAAGTATTTTGTAATTCATAATTTAACTCCTATTTTTTATACGCCAAACTTTTCAATTCAGAGGGTTTGAATACTTTCGTGACTCACTGTATATATAGTTTCCAGATAGTAAGTACACAATAAAAATTATTTTGTAAATATTTCGTTAACTGCTAAGTTTAGGACGTATGAAGGTTAACACATTTTTACTCAGAATTTGATATTCTATCGATCTATGGTAGAAAAAAATAGGTTATTCCGTTAAAAAAAATCACGGTGACCTTAAAAACACTGAAATGTCTCCATCCACCAAAAAAGCAAGTTAAGTAATAACTTAACGGTAACTTAATAATAATTAGAGGTGATCAAGTTAGCTGAGACACTCTCTCTCTCTCTCTCTCTCTCTCTCTCTCTCTCTCTCTCTCTCTCTCTCTCTCTCTCTCTCTCTCTCTCTCTCTCTCTGTGTGTGTCTGTTTTTCTCTCCCTCTGTGTGTGTGTATATGTGAGAGAGAGAGAGAGAGAGAGAGAGAGTGTGTGTGTGTGTGTGTGTGTGTGTGTGTGTGTGTGTGTGTGTGTGTGTGTGTGTGTGTGTGTGTGTGTGTGTGTGTGTGTGTGTGTGTGTGTGTGTGTGTGTGTGTGTGTGTGTGTGTGTGTGTGTGTGTGTGTGTGTGTGTGTGTGTGTGTGTGTGTATGCACTATCGACAGTTTCCACTTAAGTTTACTCATTCATACATTATGTATTATCTACAATTACAATTAGTAGCTATATTTACAATCGCTCGGCTCGCACTAGTACACCATTGCGTTATGTTAAAAATATCTGTGTATATTTGTTTTTCTTACTGTCAACATCTTTCTTTGTTTCAGTTTAATATCCCTCGTTTTTCCTATTAAACTCGCCAGTCAGGGTTATGTATCCCTTCATGAACGCAAATGTGTCGAATACGTCGGCGTCAAAGCGTCCCGTTCGTGCTTACGTGCACGTCTCTTAGACCCTGTTGCATGGAAACACCGGTTCGACACTGAACGAAACACGAGACTACTATCCCCTCTCTCTCTATTTCACACTCGTCAGTTCATCACGGACGGCTCCTTGAAAGTTACTACACGTACCATGTGTCGTGTTCGTGAGTCCATATCGTCCGTCGAGTACTGCCTTCCGTCGATTTACAAACTAATCGGCACGTAATAAGCATTTTTCATTACTACTTTCCCGTTTTGTTACTAATGTGACTAGCTCAATTTTGACTCACTATTGTGTCTGTTCACGTCGTGTCGATGAACGAACCATCTCAATCGTGCTGTCAAAGGTAAACATTTCTATACAGTTGAATCACAAGCAACGCTATTATGGCACACCGAGCGGGATTTAGTACGTGGAAAATAACAAAATAGACAGCACTCGATCAGACACAACTTTCTTCCTCCTTCTCGATTATGAGTGCGGTGAGAAGAGGACAGAAAGAAAGATCGGGGAGTAATGAACTTCGTGTACAGGATCTCTCAATCTCTGTACACGTTTGTAGTTAATGAACGTTAGTCTTGTCTCTCTTCATTGTTTTTTCTTAAGTCTGTCCGTTGTGTTAATTCACGTGGGCGCGTGAACGAAGTCCCAAATAGCGTTACGATCGCGCGTCACATCCTCGAATCACGAGTCGTGCCTATGAATTCTGTTACGCCTATTCCCGCTCTTTCGTCGTTTTCTTTTCGTGTCTCTGGTGAACGCTACGTTGCCAGGATCGTCAGCTAATTGTGGATATCTGTGAACACTGTGTATATCCACACCCTCATAGCCATTGACAGTACCCCGATTAATCAATTCATCCTTCTCTTCTTTTGACCAGTCTCCCCTACCCTGGAAGCCAGACATTACGAGCTGCTTTTCAATTTCCCAAGCTCTCTCGACTGCCCTCTTGTGAGCATGTTTCAATATCCTGTGTCTTTCCTGTTCTGGGTCAGCTCCGTATTTAATTACAACTGCAGCGTCTGGATTATGCAGCCTTAGTTCCTTCCAAGTCCCAGATCCATGTTCTGTAGTCTCGTGTGTAGACACATTGAACATACCCCCCAGTCGACGCAGCTCCTCCATATCATCACGGATCTTCAGAGCGTTGTCCTTTACAAAATAGAACACATCTTGGTCGTGTACACTGAAGTGAAGGGGCAGGAAGTATGAATTATTAAACACCGAGGTGACAACATCTTGAACGACGCTGTTGACGCCATCGACTACGCTGACAAGTGCTCGACCATCGACTCTGGATACCAGAATACCTTCCCCGAAGACAGCACGGCGGTGAGCCACCCGAGGAAGAAGATTTCTCGTCTTGGGCTCTAGTTTCAGTAATGGCTTGGGAACAAATCCTAGATCTGAAAATTTCTGATGTACGCGGTCTACAATGCATTGTAGACCAGACATCACTCCAAAGTCTGGCGTCAACTGTGGAGACGTGATTGTAGCGCTTGGTTGATACACCATTCGCTTCACGTACTCTGAACCGAGCATGGCGGAGATGTCATAGCCGTAGAGCTTCAACCAACTACCCAGATCAGTCATGTATTCAACGTTCTGTTTGAAATTAATTGGATCGTTATTACGGAAACGGTAAATGAAGATATCTGTTGGAGTGGTTAGTTCATTTGCCATTTGCTCCCAAGCTGGCGTCATCCATTGGCCAACCGTGGTGTCGTAGAGTCTCTTGTTTAAATAGACTAGTTTGGTATTTGGGTCTAGGAGACTTCCGTGGAAGTCGACGGGCAGGTAGAAGTCCGGATTGGTGTCTTTGATGATTTTGCCGAACGGTGTTCGTCTCATTTCTTTGATCAGATTTCCATTCGTGTCGAACAACGCCAGTGGTGAACCGTTCTGATCCGTCGCAACGTAGAATCTCTGCTCTGACGTCTCCACTGTCATCAAGAAATTGCGGGAATCGTAGAGGAACCTAAAGGTCTTTGCTGCTTTAGGGAAGTGAACGTGCGTGATCAGATCCGGTGTTTTCGGATTGGTGTAGAAGAACTGCGTGATGTTCTCACGATCGTCATTCCAAGCCACCAACCGTCCACGGTTGTCGTAAAAGTACCATATTTGAAACTTTTTGTGTTCTGACGCGTGGATCAATTGTCCGCGTGAATTGTACCTACAGCATGAAACAATAAAAATTGTAATAATGTATCAGAAACAATGATTGTTGTTTAACATATATAAATAAAACTTAAAACCAACCTGTACTTGTGTTCTCCACGAATAACAACGAAGCCTCGTCCATCGTAGGAATTAAACTCAACGTCGCCATATTGAACGACACGATCTCCACTGTCGTAGCCCAGTGCAATTTTTTCATTATGCTCTGTTACACCAATCACATTACCATTTTCATCATACGCATACTGCCAGTTGTTTTCAGTATCTGCAACTTCGAGTACATGGCCGTCCGCATTATACGTTATCCTCTCCAGCTTGGAATCCTTTCCAATCATCAATTTCCTCATCTTGATACGGTTTCGGTTGTCGTATTCAAGTTCCATACGGAACACGTCCAGCGTTCGAATGTTCATCAATACAGTTTCCACTCGACCATGCTTGTCATAGTCCGTCACAGTATAGAATTGTTTACTGCTGTCCTGCATAACCGATCTATTAAATAGGTTTCGGTAGATTCTCAAATCACCAACGCCTTCTAGTATTCCTAGATTTTGGTTGTACTTGAGTCTTAATTGTGGAAGTTGTTTGCCATTGATGTCCACCTCGATGCCAGATATTCGCGCGTTACCATCGTACTGGTAACGATAACGTGCATTGTCTAAGCCACTCTTGCTGCCAAACTTTATCTTCTCATCTTTGACGATACCCGCGTGATACTTGTACTCGATCCGCATTTCAAAGTTCGGTTCGTTGATGTCTATACTGTGGACAAGGCTTGTTGTTTCTTGATACGTATAGTGGATCGAAGATAGTCCTGGAACATTGTATACAATAATAAATGTCAAATAAAAGGGCAAGTAAGCAGTCAGTAATTCAACTACCATGGACTGTTTCACTAAAGAAAAGCCCTGAGATCACATCACTGAGATGAGAACAAGGACTGGTGATATTGCTCTTCGATCTCATTGAAGTACATAATATGAGATAGAGTAGGATAATCGGCCGACCATAATTGTCGAGCGTGTGATTCGATTACTTGGAACGAAACGCATCACCGTCTTTAACTATTCATTACGAAGGTAACTTTTATAGTCCCATTGTAAAATTTACCGTACCTTTAGGTCAAATATCAAAGAATGCGTTTGCTGGTGTAGCAAGCGCCTGTGCGAGAGGCTGTCGTGCCGAAGGGCGAAAAGAGACAAACAGTGGCATTGAAAACGCGACAACGTCGCTCGAAATATGTACGCAGCTCGCGTTGCATCCCCACCAAGCCACGCGCCGAGGCACGGAAACCGCTCAGGGCTTTTCTATAGTGACACAGACCATAAACAGATAACTGTACTCACCAGCAAGTGTTGTTTCCAATTTTCCAGTATGATCATAGACGTATGCAACCTTGCCACTCTGATGAGGATATACCTTAGCCAAAATCTGTCCATCATCGTTATACAACATTTCATACGGATGTCTGTTCATTGGTGAATAATACTGGTACTTATAAAATCCTAGGGAAGTCTGCAACGAGAAGGCATGAATGTGTCCTCGTGGAGTGGTCAGTGATTGCAACGCTCCAGCCTCGTCATATTGCAATAAATAGTCACTTCCCCTTGGTGTTGTCACCTTCAATGGAAGACTGCTGAACATATCCTTAAACGCGTAAATCATCGACGTACCGTCACTGTACTTAATTTCGTACAATCGACCAGCTCTATCGAAGCCGTAGGTCTCGCTGATATCTCCCCAGGCCCAACTGGTGAGTCTACTGAATCGATCATATTCCAATTCCACGTCTGCGAAAATTCCATTTCTTGGACCCCATTTAATTGGTCTTGCTGTTCTGTCGTAGGTAACATTCAAGAGTTCCACGTCCTCCATGAAAACAGCGACACTATTGGTTTCCCTGTCATACTCGAGAGAAAGAAGAATATCTCCATTGACACGAAGTTTTCTACCAACTTGCGCGACAGACTTGGAATTTCCTCTGTTTTTGCTGCTCTGAAGTCTACGGAGGAAATATCGCCATTCGAACCTGTTCGCTAGGTCTCCGGCAATCTCTGTTTTTTGCTTAGCTGGTACCGGATAACTTTCTCCTAATAGAGGATCGATTTCAGCTAGCACAGAGTATGGCAAAGTATCCGTGCTAATTGTGTGAGCCCACGGTGTCATCTGACCAACGGAACCATCAGCTAAAACTGTGGTTCTCTGTTCAGCCTCTCCTACTTTTGTAACAACTGATGATCCTTTGATTAACATCGAAATTGGTTTCCTATTATTTTGTCCAACCTTAACTACTGCTCCCTTTAGGCTGAGATCAAAAGTCAGACTGATCACCTTTCCTGTTGGAGTGACTCCACTAGTTAATCTACCGAATTCGTCGTAATTGTACACGTAGCTTCTGCCAGTGCTATCTAATTTAGTTTTTAACAGGCCAGTCGGCCCATGATAATCAAATGTGACATTGTAATTATCTGGTGAACTGAATTCATGAAGCATCTTCATTCTGGACATTCTAAGTCTACACTTTTGCCCCTTTGTGTTCTCGATCGAGTTTACCTGACCACTGTAGTCTCTCAGTAGGAATACTTTGTTTCCAGTTGCGTCTGCAACCGTGCTAAGCTTGCCATTACTAGTATTTACATTGTACGCGAACTGGTAAACAGTCTCTCCGGTGAAGATGTTCCTGGTAGCCACATGCTGGCCAAATCTATTGAACACATAGATTTCTTGAGTATCCGGCGAGTAGATCTCGTATTCTCTAGCGCCGCTGGCGTCAGGAATACTAGCCATTACTGAACGGATTCTGTAATTCGCTTGATCACCAATATGAACTATGCCGTCTGGAGAAACAGCTACAGCGGATATAGTGTTGAATTTAGAGGTAGAAGCTAGGTAATGATCAGCTTCAAAGCAGTCGCAACCACGTTCCAAGCAGTTGCACTTGGACTCTGCGCCAGCGTAGGGGGAAATTTTACCATCAGTACCGATTACTCTCACCCGATTGATTCTCTGTGAGTCACTCTCTGCTATGTACAAATTCCCTGACGGTCCAAACGCGATACTCTGAGGCATAACCAGGGTAGCGTGTGTCGCAAGTTCAGTATCGAACGAGGAAGATGAAGAAGCACAGTGAAGTGGACGACCATCGACGACTTTCACGCGACCATCTGGGGCTAATTGAAGGACCATATGATCATCGATCATATGTAACGAGTTGTCCAAAGGATTGATTGCCAATTCCGTAGGCCAACGCAGGTGAACTTCTTCTACGTTCAGTGTGCCTTCGCAGGGAATTGGTTTCCAATGTGATTTGTGCATGTGATTGCCGATCACGGTGGTGATGATACCATCTCGGTCGACCATTCTGATGTTAGTGCCGTCGGCAAAGTAAAGAATGTTATCGGCTGAAACTGCGACACCTTTGGGATATGCAAGTTTAGCGTCTCTGGCTAATGCACCGTCACCACAGTGGGCCTCGTCACCCGGGAGACATCTTTCCCCGGAACCAACTACTGCTTCCCAGTTGTGATCGGGGTCGGTATAGTCGTTAGTGTCGCGGACTCGAATTATCTGGTGAGATTCCGGGTCGGAAATGTAGAGAGAACTATCTAGTGGACTTAAGGCGATGTGATAGCGATAGGACACTCTAGTTGCACTGAAAGAAGAAAATTAAGTGTTTAATAAAATTCTGAAAATAATAACTGTAATATGTTCTTTTTCAAACAAAAAAAAGCAGTCGTTATCTAAAAGCTACAAAAGTCTTAGTTGATTTAATAATTTAATAATAAAAACTTACTTGAGCCTAACAATGGTCTTAATAGTACCATCGACTAGGACCTTCCTTACAAGATTAAAATCACCGACAAAAATGGATCCATCAGGAGCGGTAGCAAGAGCCACAGGAGCAAGAAGTCGTTGTTTGGAAGCTTGTCCATCGCAGTCGTAACAATCCAGTGGTCTTTGATGTCCATCTCCCATGGTGGTAAGAATGACTCTAGGTTTCTGCTTCAAGTAGATATTGGAACCATCCCCCTTTTGCAAGATACCCTCGTGGAAGTTGTACCTGTGGTGAATGTCAAGATTCCAACCACCAACTTCAGAAATAGACATGTCGTGACCACTGAGTTTGGTCGTTTGTACGTCCCAGATGACGTCCTTGCAGTCGCTGTACTCGTAGCCTACCTTCACCATAGCCGTAGTGACACCATAAACTCGTTGTCTATAAACGTTCAATCTGTTCCATGCATAGGTGAACTTTATCACGGGATCTGCTTCAAAAGTTTTCTCGAACAAAATACCCTCGATGGTGATCCTCAAATGAATTAAATTGAGGGTGGGAGGTATTACTTCGGGAGTCAATTGCAGCTGTATCGTGGACAGATAACCGGCAGCTCTGGAGCTGTGGTAAACGAGATTTAATCCCGTGCCAGGAATTTGTAGACTTTCTTGAATCACTTGGGACTCTGCCAAAATGGCACTCTTGTCGGGACACGCACCCTGGAAGCCGTGTTTCCATGTCGCTAGGACTACCGGTTTCATCAGATCATAATCATGAGCAGCGCAGGCGTGTGGGACGGGCATTGGTTGTTTCTCTTCGGAGGTACTCATCACGATTTTGTCGATAATTACCACCTTGAATGAATAAAATTTTGTTAAATCACTTGCATTTTTAATATCTTCTACAGCGATCAAAGTGTTAATAGTAAAACTTTGCATGTGTATTCTTTAACTCTCCGTGACCGGTGCCGGAGTCATTTTTAACTCGAAGCGAGAGCGACACGCACTCAGTGACGAAGCTGTTTGTGTAAGTCGGGACGTGACCGACGTTTGTAATATTGTATGGCAGGGATGGGAAACAGGCAGCTAGCAACCTACTCTGTCGCCCTCTGATACCGGCCTCTTTTGACCTGCCATAGGGAAATGTTCCCCCTCTGTTTCTGCCGTGTATGATCACAATCGGCGCGCGGGACAGCACAGGGTCTAGAAGATGCGTACGCATGCTCCGACCGTAGCGTCACGCACGCCGATCCCCAATCACCACGCAGCGCAACTGAGTAGTGGGGGAACGGACTGAATGATGGTAAGGACCATCTCGTCCTTACCAACAAGATATTTGCCAGGCCTGTTATATGGAAACGGCCAGGCTGACACGCCGCAGAAGTATTGACTTACGTCATTGGCTCACTCCCAATTTCTTTTTCACTCGCTGTCCTTTTTTGACAGAAACAGACAACACGAATTAGTTCCTCCAAAAGAAGCAAGACGTGGCCGACGAGTAACAACATTTATTTCAGAAAAATCTGGTTTTTATTGTTTTTGTGGTGTCTCTTAACAAGAAAACAATAACAAACATGCTTCGACATCAATATTACTTCGTTGTCGTCGAATTGTATGCAATAGTTCTGATAATATAAATATACAATAATTATATTTTTTTTTTATAATTCATGTGGTTATTACTCTTTTGTATGTGGATAACGAAAATCCGAACACAATCCGAAATCGACTATGAGTTACATTCATAGTAGTAGATCGGTGAGTTTGTGTTAGTAGCCTATCGATGTGTCAGAATGACTCCGGCACTAATCTCCTCGTCCAGTACTCGGAGGGTTAAGTAGAACTAGAAAAAACTGTTACATACTTTGGAAATCTTTAGGTTCAGGAGCGAACAAAATTTTATTCGAACAGTTTATTTGCAAGTTTCATTCAATTGATCGATTTGTAATAACTTATTATTCATTTGAAATAAAAAAATATTTCATTATGCATCAGAATGCTTATTTTATCTTCAGCTTTTTTACATAAATGAACAATTTTCCCACATTTGATTGCCATCAACCTAATAGTAAATAGATTATTTAATATGATTTTACCTCATTCCATGGTACAAAGACAATGTGATTCTGTGGTTTGAAGGGTGACCTGCCAAACTGCAAGGTAACAGCACCACCACCATTTACTAGCAGATCGAACCAGCCATCGTCTCTCGTCAATGTAAACCCTTCCAATGGTGTACTGGTGCTAACTCGTACTCCCATTAAACCAGTACCAAGATGCGTGACAACGCGGCCACGAACAACGGCGGATCGGCTATCAGGATAAGATAATGTTAATTATCCAGTAAACACATCCCTGATGTGAACTAATATGATGAATAAATCTTTTACTGTGCTTATTCCTCGCTAAAGTATGAACGACTTTTACATCGTTTACAAGATTTAACAGCTTTTTCGGTCAACTAGATACTCATTTCATCACCACGCAATATGCAATTCTCAGTAATGCATAAAAAATCGTTTATTCTTAAGAAAAGATCATTTATCATTCGATATTCCGTAGATTGTTGTTTATAAATATTTAAGTCACATAGTAAAATTCCACTGGTCTGGTAAAAATTTTCCGATGGTGCAACAAAGAGCAAGAAAATACATATCACGTTGATTAATTATTCCTATCAAATAATAGACATGACTTAATGTGACAAAATCGATATTATATCAGGAAAAAGGCATTCTATTTGTTGTTCACTATTGACTCGAGTAAACGAGCGATGTTCGAAGCATCATAGTATTTGAGAGACAAACAGTGCTTTTCTCACTCTTGTGTATCTTTATTTCATGGATGAGCGAAGCATGTAGGGTTCTGGCCTTGTAAACGTCAGTACAGTCGCTCTGTACTTTAACAACAAAGCAACTTCTATTATCTAATCTAAGTACAATCTACGATAGTATTACGCTCCGGTCACAAGTCGTCTAAAAGTGTGTTCAAAGCAGGGCTTGAAACGGTTTCGAAAATAACTGTTTCAAACTCTTATATAAAAGTTCCGATTGAAAGAGTTACGAAGAACTTTTATTCTGAATAACTGTTACGAAGAACCTAAATTTCAAGCTATATAAGTTTCAGTTACAGTTCCTATATCCGCTCCCATATCAATATTATTTAGGTTCTATATCAGTTCTATAACAGTTATTTTTTTAGGTTATGTATCAGTTCTGAATATATTCTATTCTTACTGTTTCAAGAACCTACACCGAAATCATAACAGTTTTCAAGCCCTGGTTCAAAGTAAATCTCGTGGAACAAAAACACGCCGTCACGTCGGGTACCAACGGCAGTTTGATCGAATAGATCGATGAACTGGAAACGATTTCAAGTCTTGCAACGTCTCTTTATTCGTTCAACGTGATGCCGTCGTTTCGTTCGATCAATCGATATTCAGAGCGTATAGGAAACCGGGCTATGTCTCATTCTCAGAATGAATCCCTTTGTAGGATTTAATTGACATAATTGCAGTGCTAAAGAGGTGATTAAAAGTCGATAAGAACTAAACGTTTTCCAAATTTTAATACGTTGATATTGTCTTATTTGTTATGAACAACAATGCGTAATTCTTCGATATTTGCAGCAACTCCTTTTCAGTTATTTTTAATGACCACAAGTAAATATTGAATATTATTATATTTTTATCACATCTGAATGATATTCTTCATTGGATTATTTATTAAGTAATGCAATATTCCTTTTGATGTGTACATAAGCTGCACAGTAAGAAATTGTTCGTATCAATGTAATCAATCAATGAATTCAATAGTAAATATTTTGTAAAAATACAATTATAACAGCTCAGGCAGGTAACTCTGTTGAACACGAATTTTTATCTATAGTACATATGAGAGAATTATTCTATGACCCTTAGTATTTGAAAAACATAAGTTTTTGTCATAACACACGATTTTGGTAAAACAAGAGCTATTACGCGGAAACTAGAAATGCCAGAAAGTTTAATTTAGTCTTACTATATAGAGGGGAATTTCAGAAATGTGTATACAGTTATTAAATTTTGTCGTTCTGAATGGTTGGAGATGGTCATAAAAGTTCAAAAAAGAACGAATGTGTGTGCTTTCTATGCAATATTGTTTCATTTTTAAAAAGGTTCCTTATCTACCATGAATTTGCTACATAGTATCTTATTCTGTAAACATTCATGAAGAAGAAACCATCCAGAGAAAGTATTTCAATGGTTTTTAATTCGGACACGACGGAAATATCCGTCGGCAAAGTATACACGGTATTCTGCCGTGCTGCCGAATTAGGTTTTAATACATTTTCATTTAACTATTATTTACAAGTATGAATACAATTGGACAGAGTGGCGTTGTGATGTTGCTGACGTTCAGAAATAAACTGTGTCATCCCCTGTTTGGGACCAGTATTTAAAGGGGTTCCGGTTTGGAGGGGGTGAACGCTAAGTTTAAGGAATTTAGAAAAGGATGATCTAGGAAATAGGGATATGGCGTCCTTCGGAATCCGGATGAAAGCTTTCTCGGCGAACGGTCGGGTTCTTGAGGAGATTTGTATCGCCGATCGGTACATGGAAAAGGTATAAGTAATTTTTTCACGGAAAAAACGTCAAAAAATTTTTCATTTTTTTAAGCATAACACAGCTCATAAAAAAATCTGAAAAATTGCAAGGGTTATGAATATATATGTTACTAAAATTTCATTAAGCAATTCGAATTTGTTAGCATATTTTATGGTTCTTAATTTTCTCCAACTACAATTCTCAACAGAAAAATTGGAGACGATTCTGCAATAGGTGCTCCGGTATTTGCAATGTATTAGATTTTTTCACAATTTTTGCGTGTTTCTAAACAGAGAAATGTAGCGAAAACAATGTTTATGCATACGTTATGTCACGATACGAATTGTATGTTATTAAATATAGTCTGATTTATATCGGGTTTGGACTTATTTTCATCAGGAGAATCACCCACATTTATTCATAACATTTTTAAGAAAGTACACTGAAAGGAATAAAAGTTTAAATTTTTATTCATGCGTGATTCATTTTAAGTCCTTGAATCGGGTGATTCCTGGGATGATTTGAATCAACTTTTTCCTTGGCGCAAAAGTTTTCCGCAGCTTTGTTAACGAGATATTAACAAAAAAATCCCGACCAGTCTGAGCGCTAGGCTAGCGACAGAGCTTCCGCGGTAGCGATGGCTACGCGCTGCGGCTATACTACGAACAAGCAAGTCGGCATGCATTGAAGGAAACTGCGTAGAATAGCGAATGAAAAGGACGTAACAAATAAAATCGAACTTTTTGTCATCTTTTGTCTGTCGTTTAAAGTGACGTCTACGCAGTTTCTTTCGATGCATGTTGACTTGCTTGTTCGTAGTACAAGCGCAACGTGTAATTACCGCTATCACGGGAACTCAGCCAGCAAAATCGCGTTGTGATTCGTTGGGGTTTTTCGACAATATCTCGTTAACAAAGCCTCCAAGATCTTTTTCGCTAAGGAAAAAGTTGTTTCAAAGCATCCCAGGAATAGCCCTTTTCAAGAACTTATATCTATTTTGACACACCCTGTATAATGACGTGGCCGCAGATTAGATCATTAATCACCACGCCAGGACCCATATTTTCTACAAAATGCATTTATTCGAGGGGGTCAAATCTGGCATCCCTGCTCCACTATGGGACTCATTGGCAGATTGTCTTGTGACGGATATGTCGCACAGTGGTCCATAGAGGACCATAGTGGAGGAAACCCAAAAAATTAAGTTCGAGTGGTTGTTGTTCAGAAACAGCGTAGGACACTATTAGGCATCGTGTATGCCTAACTATGGCACTGCTCAATTGAGGCAAGCGAGCAGCGGTCGTATGGCGACAAAACACCGCGCACACGTTGCCGACGTATATTGTCTCAAACTGTTCGAATTAAATTATTTTCTTCTTGAGAAATGTCAACAAAATCCGATACTGTGTAGCAAGTTCGTGTTAGATAAAAAACGTCTCAATCCAAATGCAAAAATAGTGCGTGGAAGCTACGCACATTCGCGCTTTTTTAAACTGTTATGACCATTTGCAATTAAATAGAACCACAAAATTTAATTGGTGTATACATTAATATATTCATGAAACTCTCTTCTGTCTTCTAAGACGGAATTGGACTTCCTAGCCTTTTTAGCGCTCACATACTATATCATTTTTGTCCAAAATGGTATGTTTTCACAAAAAGTCACGTTTTTCGAAAACTGAGGGTGATAGAGCAATTATACTATCGAACTCGTGTTTGGAACGAGAAATTTCACATGGATCATCCAGTGAATACTGCAGACCAGAAAAAAATGTTTTAATTTGTTGGACAGTGTAAGCCAAATAAATAGTCTCAAAACGAAAGTTGCTATAATCACCCCTTAAATTCTGTGTTTGTCACTGCAACCTGTAAGTTATTCCCAATGAAGGGTATCACGATGAAGTCGCGTGAAACGCTCTGTTGCTCTCTAATTATAGACACAAATACCAAGGCATCACTGTAAACACGTCGTATCGTTTCTTCACCGACGAAGGACGACATCATACCGCCTCATTGACACGGAATAATCAATCGACGACAAATTGATATTAGTAATACACATACACATATACACGAATAACACAAAGTTAGAAGCATAACTCATAAGGCACGAAAGACAACGTAGGAATAATAAGGAAACTAAACCATGCAACGAGAAAGAGTGCAACAACGGTGAGGGAAGTCGTGTGTGTCTGTGTGTGTGTGCGCGCTCGCACACGCGTGTGAGGGTTCAATGAAGGTTGGTCGCATGCTGCGTTAGCTTTCGAGAAAGGTTCTCCAGTTTGTCGACAACTTTCGGTAGCGACCAAAGTGCCGGCAGTCGTGAAGAGGCTCTCTGTTTCGAATACAATTGAAAGAACGCGGGCAACCGGTTACAATTCAGATGCAGAATGTATTGTTACACACGGTACCAAATTTGCACAAACATGTGATGAAACAGCAGCAAGTATTAACCGTTTACACTCTAAAGGCGAACGGTATTCGCAACGGGGTTTTTTTTCTTTTTTTTTTACTTTAGTCGAATTTCATCGACATAGTGGTGTCCTTACCTTGTGTTGAAGTGATTCCAGAACATACTGACCGGGCAGCACGGATAAAACAGAGCCGAGTTAAAATGATGTGATCAAGAAATTAGACTGAAGAGAGAAAGAGAGAGGTAAAGATAAAGAGTCAGGTAGAAATAGAGATAGAGTGAAAGAAAGGTAGAAATAGAGTGAAAGTGAAATTGGAATAGAGAAAAGGGAGAGAGAGATGTATGCTCTCGATATCAATTATCCAATGAAGTGAAACAAATTGACAATACTACTGTGCAAAATATTCACGCACATTATAGGATACCACTTTCGGGTTAACAAGATAATAAATATTGATCTCTGTTTATTTATATTATTTAGCGTGACAAGAAATCGAAATACGGAAATGTAAACAAATTAGAGAATAAAATAAATAATAAGAGAAAAACTTTTCGCTATATCTAGATGTAATTATATTTTGTAAAGAAACGAAGATAATGCTTTGTGCTAATATGAAATTACATGATTTACGTGATTACCACAACCATTATTTTTGTCAGAGGCAATACAATTGAACTTCCTTATAATGATCTCTCTTTGACCCTGAAACGACATTTATACCTACAAAATGTCTAATACTTTAGTCACATGAATATATCTACAGTCCAGCTTTCTCTTCGTTATTCAATGGGTTATTGCATAAATTACAATAATTGACAGAAAATTTACACTTCAACGTGTAACAATGTGTTTCAAGACGATGTCAAGTGTTCAGGGATTTCAAACGACCCCGCGATATCGTTTTAGTGCTGAAAGATCAATTTGAAAGAGGATCGTGGGACAGGGAAATGTAAGAGTTCAGTTATACGGAAAAATTTTGGGAAAATGTAAATATCGAAAATCGTTGCGCGACAAGACGATTCCGTAGTCATTACTCCACCTCTAGTTGGTGTGATGGGTTCGAGGCTCGAACATAGAGTCATACATTCACGCAAGCACCACTCGGACGGACACGTGAGAAAGGAAGACGAATATATGGAGACTGTCGATTATATGTACATATATAGACATGGTGTCCCTAGTTATATGTTGCAATATTTTAAGGTGTGGTAAGGTAGCTTAAATGGGTTAAACAATATCCTGTATACCACGTCCGATTTGCTACTACAATGTGTTAATAAAAATGTGGGACAATTTCAGAAAGTGAATTCTTTATTATTGTGTATCGAAAAAACGGAAAGTGTTCGAACTGGCCGGAGTGTGGTAAAGTTGTAGAACCTTGACACCTACTCGTGTGCAAAATTTCAGCTCCATCGGATCATTTTTATTTTCGTAGTACTTGCTCCAAAGTTTCGAAATTTTTGTTTTGATAAAAAAGAAAATACAGTGGAATTCTCAGAAGGACTCTTGGAGTCTCTAAATGAAGAAAATAGTTCTGTTGGAACATATATGAACGAGTTCGGATAACAGGGTAGGGAGTATCGATTAGCCTCCCTTAAAAATATGCCCAGAAACAGTATTTTTCACTAAAATACACTAATTGATCAACAAATTGCAAAAGCTGATGTGGATCATTCGAAGATGCCTCAACTACGTTGCGATAAAATGGAAGAAGAAGCGATTCAGAACTCGTCAAGATGGTGGCTGCATCTCGAGTTATGCCCTTACTCATCCCAACTAACCAACCAATCACAAATTTTGTAAGTTGGTGTTGCTAGTTAGTGTCATCATTTACATTAATGCTTCCGGACTGACTTTTGGTGTGTAATGTTGGCATGATTTGCCTTATTGTTGTATTATGGACTACATTAGATACATTAGAAAGACCACGAAGAAAAAATGGCTCAGACACAAGCTCATTCTACCAACCAATTAAGTCACGTTACTGGTTTACCATAAAATTCACAGTAGAAACCTGGAACGTACGTGGTCAGTCAGACTCGATTACTTCATTTCATGCTTACGGAATGCGAAACGGAGCTAATTTATGGACATCTCAAGATTCCACCTGATAAGTCGATAAAAATGATCTAATAGAGCTGAGATTTTGCAACCCAGTTAGTGTCAAGGACCTACCACTTTATCGCACCATGATAAGTATGAAGTCACGCTTTCGGTTTTTCCGATACACACTATTCTAGATACTAAACTGACAGGGAGATGTATCTCTCAGATTTGCTTCAAACTCGTCTCATTTAGTATACACTATGCACAAACAAACTCTACAAAATCGCACTTTTTCAGGAAAATGTGCGCCATTTTGTTCCTAATCAATATTTCGAAAAACCCCACGTTCAAGGACAAGATTGGTTCTTCCATTACATAAATCTTACTGAATGTTTAATTTCAGATGAACCGTTACGAAGTTACAGTGATCACGGCAGACCACTTTTTGTGAAAAGACATCCGGCAGATCGCTCACCATTTATTTACTAATAAATATTTGTAAATCAAAAAATTACCTTATAATCTAGAAACTGCAATCTTTAAATCACAAACACATTTTTTAAAATAGGTCTTATAGTTTTTGAGAAAAAAATTCCCAGAAAACACTCTTTTTTCGGCCTCCTGACTGAGCATAACCCCTTAATCGACTCGGCTATATCGCTTTTGTCTTCAGTGTTTCAAATTATGTCCCATCGTGCCCTCTAAAATGTTTATTGTGAATTTTCTCAACAACGAAGGCCTATGTGGAGGAACTTCACTAGGGTTTGTTTGTGCATAGTCTATACTTTAAGTACCAATTTTGAGAGATACATTTAGAATTCCGTCCTTGTGATTCGAAAATCTAGAATTATTATATTGCTTCCGAAGCTTCGTTTCCGAGTTATTAGCAGTTAAACAAACTCGATTTAGCAGTTAACACTAGGTTTACGGGACGCGTCATTTTGACGCATTTCGAATGCTTTCTAACCTCGAAATTCTCTATGTGGTATACCTATCTCTATAGCTATGCATTAATTTCAGAGATCATAAATTGTGTATTATATAAAATAAGTTGTTTTTTAAAGAAAATCTGCGGGTTCGTTGATGCGTGCCGTGGAGATACCTACACGATAAGTGCCCGTAAACCTAGTGTTAACGATCAGCTGAGCGGTGAGCTACATGTACGCGCAAACACAGTCAAGAAGTCATTAACTGCTAAGTCGAGTTTGTTTAACTGCTAAGACCTCGGAAATAGGGGCTTCAGATTGCAAAACGGTAAAGAACTTTTCGATTCGTATTTGCATGGAGAATATCCATGTTGCGGATTGTCCCATCTTTTTGGGATACCCTGTATATATAATCACAAAATGTAATCTACCAATCTGCAGCACCTGCAACTGTCAAACCACCGTCAGAGACATCTTCTTAATTGCCCCAAATACAACTACCCCCGCAACAAATACTTACATCAAATAAACTTAAAGTGGAAGCCTTTGTAAAAAAAATCAAATTTCAAAGGTTTTTCTATATTCTGTTAAATATATCGTTATTAAGTAAAATCTAACTTGCAAATCCTTGTTTTCCTTGCACTGTCGTTGATAATAACCACAATGTACAGTTGATACGACGTTAAAACATACTTTTAAAAAAAGCTGTCGATTGGATGAGGTACGAAAATCTATACCACTGAACTTGACTGTTTGCGCACACATGTTACAATCGCCAAAGAAGACAGTGAGTGAAAAATAAAGAAGGACTGGGTATCGGTGAGATAACATGAATGCAAGGCAGAAACTTTTTAATTTTTGATTCTCTGTTAATGAAAATAATATCAACATATTGATGCGATTTTTCTAATTAAAATAATACCAAACACGATCATTTGGATCATATTTACTTATACAATAATTGTTAAAAATGCATTGCCTTTAATTATAGCTTCTGCTGAATTAAAACTGAGAAAATAACTTTACGTACACAGCAAACAAATAGTTCAAAAGAACGATCGTTTATGATTAAATTGAAAGAAAAATTAAGTTCGTATCTTTAATAGTTGCGGAGATAAAAATGATTTTGTAAAGGTAATTTCCGTAAAAATAGGTGAAAATTGCCAAATTTGAGGGTCTGTATCTTTTACACAATTTTGAAATCAGCGAAATGATGACTTAAAATCACCATCCCCTATTCTCATGTGGACTATAGCATATTTTAATTTCATCAAAATCCCAGACATCGTGTACAAAAGTGATCTGCTTAAAAATAAAGAAAGATACCTATTACAATTTTAATCAGAGATATCTCATAAATGTATTAATATTGTTCACATTATGAAAGAAACAAAAATAAGAAAGTTTCATCGTTACATTAGTGTTGTCTCATTGACACGCAGGCGTTTAAACCTTTGTCGCTGCCTCGACGCTCAGTCTCTCTTTCTTCTTCGTTCACTGTACTTTTCTGTGACGTCGCCGCCGGTAATAATATACAAAAGCAAGTTGCCGTGGCTCGGCTCCAAGTTTATGTAGCGTTGAAATCGCACAAGGTTCCGAGTTTTGCGCGCACAAGAAATTTATACCGTATACAGTGTATCTGCAAGATTTGAGGATCGTGATTACTCATTTGAAACCATTATTGTACTACAAATGAAGCAACTATGCATGTATGTATACTTGCATCCACGCTAGGGATAGCGACTTCAAGCATTTCCCTTGAAGAGTGTCAGATATGAGGCGTGTTTTTTAAGTAAGGTCCGTTTTAAAATTACATAGCACCTTTTTCTAATTCCTTAACTAGTTGGCGACTATTTAGTCTTACAATTAGTCAGATTCCCACTTATTACCAGATGTCAATAATTTACGACTGCTGTAATAAATAATCCCACCAACTGTGATATTCGTGCTGTTATCCGATTTTTGCCAGGAAAACACAATAGTGCATAAAAGTTAGACGTGCTATTTAAAACTAATGACGTGGTTTACTGTTCGGTGGGATTATACTTTTGCACGATGACACTCGACCTCACACTGCAGCTCGAATTATTCAAATGTTAGAACAATGTCGTTGGGAAATTTTAACCGTCCACCCTATAGGCCCAATCTTGCACAAAATGACTACCACTTATTTTTGTATTTAAAAAAATGACTGGCATCGAGCGGTTTGAAAATAATATGGTGCAAGACACTGCTAGTGAAATCAACAAACTAGCGACATGATATCAAAAATGGCTATATGGAAAAATAACACAAATATGTAGATATTTTTTAGCTAAAATAAATCATTTATATTTTCTACGATTTTCTTTATCTTCGAACGGACCTTACTTCAAAAACTGGCCTAGTACTTATTTAAATGCAAATGGAATGTAGCTCGGAAACATGGTCATATCAGACATATTTTGAAATTAACTTTTTCTTGTTATTTTTTTGCCTTTAATCCTCTACTGCAATATTTCCCACATATTAAGAAACACCTTGTATATATCGATAAGATCAGTACTATAAGAAGTATAGCAATAAAGACAAAGAAGGAGAGAATGATGGTGATATATGTAGAAATAGGAACAGGGGTTCAGTGCAGAGCACACGCTCACGCACACGTACGTACAAACATATGTAGAAAACTATGGGGATGTGATTTCACACGGGTCACAACAACGCAGAGAATATATCATATTTATGTATACGTCTTTGTGTCTTGTATATCGTGTACGGACGATATGTACATGATGGTTCGTGAAAGGTGGTTATTGTTTCTTAATTCATCTGTAATGAAAAATGTATGAAGCTGTCCCATTTGATTTTATTATTAACTATAAAATAATTTTGGTTGTTAATTTTCTATTGCAATTTTTTTATACAACAAGAACAGACACTTAAAGTCTTCTTTATTTCCACTTTTAATCAAAATAAAATAATTAACGCAGCATAAAAATAGGATAGACATTCAATGCATTTTATCTTACAGTTTTTAATTATTTTTTAGAATAAATTCACCCTCAAGTACGTCATATTTCACGGATCAGCCTGTACAGATGTATATGCATGTGTCTTGTACGCGTCGGGTAAGCTAAAGATTATCGGGTCCCTTAGGTTTCGCATGCTTTTTCATATTTTAACGCGTTAGAGAACGAATGTGAAAAAACGACCCGAACAATTTACGAACACAACAGACCACCAATATTCTTTAATAATCTTTAGCTGTCCTACAAGGTATACATTTTTTCATATTTATATCGTTTGTAATGGTCATGTGTCGTGTGTCTGTTATTACCGAGTTTCTGTTTCTGTAACGAACTATGTCTGGTTTAATACACGTAAAAAGACTGCACGTAACATCAAACTTGAGACGGACATATGTTTCAGACAGCATAGATCCTGTGGATCGTTTGTCGTCATGATTGTTTTCAGCGAGTACCACGGTATCAATATCGATCAATGCAGAACAAGATCGTTCGCGTAGGTGGATCGCACGTATGCGAACCGTGCTGTCGACATACATATAACTCACCTTTCGTTGAAGGTTTCTTGACGGGCGTAGTTCTGTAGGCTGCCCTCGTCGATTAAAAATTTCATTCTCTCGAAGAAAGAAGCGGTGATGGCTGGTGGCTGCTTTCGCAGAAGTATATCAATTGGCTTTGGAGCCGACACGCAAAGCTGACTACTACGACATATATGATTCAAGCAACATTCCGGATCCGCGCAATCGATGAGACCGTCTGGAAATTATATTACAGACGAGTTAAGATGGCTTGTTAACAGAAGGAATCGTTGTTTATTGAATTCCTTGGATTAGATTTATTATAGGTTTGAACATAATTATTTATTATTTACCGACTCTTTATGTAACGATAACTATTTTCTTTCGAAGTTTGTTTAATTAAAGTATAGTTTATTAGAGGCAGAATTTTGAATGAAAATTTAAACCAGTTAAATATGTGGAGATTTCGTGTGTTTCTGTTTAAAACAACGAAGCGTTACTATCCGGTAGTTTTATACTCAGGCTTAGTAATATTTAAAGCGAAATAGACTTCTTTTCTAAATGATTAAAAAACGTAGTTATCTCTAAACTTGAAGGACATAGAGTTGCATTGTCGAAAGTTATCCAACGTTTAATTAAATGAACTTGTCAAGGTCATATGAAGGTCATCTTGACTTCAATCAACACCATGTTTATGTTTACATTTATAATTCACTTAACCTTCCAGCGGTCGAGCACGTACATTATGTGCATGTGAACCAATTTTATGGAGGTAATGCAAGTAAATCCTCGTCTAACAGTTTCTGTGCTCTTGGGTATATTTTTAGTCTTATTTTGTCTTCCAAAATGTCTTATTATAATTTAATTAAAATTAAACACTAAGGGTGTGTAAGTGTTAACACGCACAAACGCTATTGCTCTGCCAGTTTCTCAATTGCAATTACAGCAGCTAACTCACCGTGTTAAACATTAGAATAGATTTATTAATTACTCACAAAAAGTACACTCGGCGTGTAAGGTATTCGTGATATTTTCCCGATCATAAACTAAGAACTCGTCACACAACAGGCTTTGTGCACCAAAATACACTACTTCTGTAATAATTTGGAAATCAACGACAGAAATTGCCAATATAAGGCATAGAATAAACATTTCTATATGAAAAACTTCCTTTATATACTGGTTGTTTAACGATAAAAAGGCAAATTGTTTCTGCTATAATAAAAACAAGCACGCTCGCTGGAAGGTTAAATCCATAACAGCTAATTTACAAAATTGTTAGTAATCTCTGTTCCATCGTTTCTGCTATCCTTACTTTTAATATTCCAATGTTGTTCGTTTAATAATAAATATATACTCTAATGCGAAGAAATTTATAGGTATGTTCTAATATCTGCAGGGCATAATCTGTCTTCAATAGAAAGTTTGTGTGTGAAATCCAATTACTATTTCCCTTCTATTCTGTACCTTTGTCATTATCTCTTCCATCGTTGCAATTCTGCTCAAGAAGCACATTACAATCCTTGCCATCCCAGCCGTCGTAGCATCGGCACTCCCACTGACCATCGCTGCGGACTCTGCATTGGCCGTGACCGGAACAAGAATTCGGGCAACCTTCCATGGTACAGTGTTTACCATTCCAACCGGTTACGCATAAGCAGGTTCCGTTTTTGCATTGGCCATGCTCGTTGCATCGTGGATCACACTGCTTCAGGTTACACAATTCACCGGACCATCCTGGGAGGCAGTCACAAGCGTTATCCACGCAGTGACCATGTGGACCACAGTCCAGATCACATAATTCTGGAAAAAGGAGAACGAATCTTGTGTTTCATATTTCAATCATCTTGAGTTATATTTTTATACATGTTAGTTGTTGCCAACACACATACAGATCAAAGAAAAAGTTGTGAGTTTTTTACTGACAAATTAGAATAAAATTAACGAACAATGAGAACTGTTATTAATAACGAAATGGATGTAAAAATAAAATGAAGTGGTTATGGAAAGAAAACAAGTATTGGTGTTATACCAGAAAACAGGAAATTATGTAACAGTGAATAATTCAATGCAACGATATTTCCGTCACTAATACTAATATTTATAATGTCAGATTTATAATGCACATAAAGCATTTATTGTCATTGTATTTTTATTAGGTTGTCCAGAAAGTTCGTGTGGTTCAATAAGAATGTTTTATTTATCGTAGTGCGCGATGCCAGGTTTGTTTAGTCTCATGCACCCTCTTTCAGGGCAGCTCCCATTCTAGAAACCCTATCATAAATTCTCCAACGATCCATGAGCGACGGTACATCCGCCTCCGACTCCACGTGAAACACGTTGACGCTAACATGTACATGCATCATAACTTGAACGGATGTAGGAAGAATTGCAAAAGAGCAGTAGCATTGATAACTGTAATTGTTTGTGGAAGATAACGCGAGAATATATAGGGTCATTCCACGCGAAATCGGATACTTTTCGAAGTCATATTTCGGATTTTGTTGACACTTGGATATGTTATAGTCTTTAGTGATATATAAACGTACCTCGAAGGATTTATGAAAATTTTTTAAATTGTTGATTTTACACCTGTTTGAAATATAGTGTCAACGTTTCTTCTATAAAAAATAAATTATAACTGTTAAAGTAACAAATTAATCAAAATGAGCTTTGTGGGTGCTCATAATGGAAACATAAGAGTACCTAATAAATATTATTTCAGTTAGAAGAAAATATTTTTTGCAATTGTTTTGAAGACATACAATTTTATTAATAATAACATAAATAGTCGAAATTCTGATAGTACAGAAGATAGTAAAGAGGATCATTACCTTTCGAACAATCATCACCAGACCACATCGGTTCGCATAGACATGTCTGAGTCTCGAGGTCGAAGTTGCCATGTCCGCTGCAGTCCGGAAGACACTGTAATGCTTCTTTGTCCATTTGACTGCAATCAGCTCCTTTCCACCCTTTTTTACAGATACACGTACCCTCCGCGCAGAAACCGTGTCCTGAGCAGGTAGGATGCGGACAGTCCACTTCCTCGCAATATTTTCCTTTGTATCCACGCACGCAATTGCACTTTCCATTGGTACAGTGACCGTGCCCGTTACAATCAGGTACTTCACACTCGTCATGTCGCAACGAACATTCTTTTCCTTTCCAACCAGGGTTACATTGGCACTCTCCGTTTATGTATTCTCCTAAAATGGGAACGAAACAATTGGTTGAAGTATGTACTGATAAATAAGAGTAGTAAACATAATAATGTTAATGTAACTGTAACGGATCGTAAGCATTAGTAGTTTAAAAATGTTGAAACAGTTGTGCTATATGGTAAGAAGAATAAAGTGTGATTACATACGTGGCAAGTATTTAAGAAATTATTTAAACATTTAGAAACACTGTACCAAGTCTCTATAAACATACACTCACTGACAAGAGTTAAGAAATAAAATAATCGCTTGAGAATTATTCTATACTATCATCCCTCCGTGGCTTCGCTCGCGTGGAATTAGGGCCAGGACATTTCTTAATTGTCCAGCCACTGATGATGTAGCGTAATGGTATTGTTTTTATATGCAACGTCACGTATAACGTATTATTTAATTTTTTATTGTATACTATCAACATTTTTTAATATGTAATAGTCTATGTCCATTGGGAAGGTATTAACTCAGCTAATTAGCTGTTGGATGGTCAAAGAATCATTGACATTGGTACAATAGTTCCTGAGATTACTTCATACAAATAAACAAACTTTTCTGCTTTATAATATTAATAATATACTAACAGAACTCGGGAAAAATATGTTGCAAATATGTAGTAAAACTCGGTATATAGCGTCCCTCGTCTCGACTTCGCCCGAGACATTAGCGTAACTGATTCTTGATTATTAGAATTATCTTTTAAGAAAATTAATTAAGTTGAAAAAAAAGCAGCAGTGCATGATGTTGACAGATTCAATCGCACTCGAGATATACGTAGTAACACTCAAAGAGACTACGGATAAATACACAAATGCAATTTATAACCCGACGATCATTCTAACATATACATATAGGATATAACAAAAATGTTGGAGGACCCGGAAATGGGAAACTCGTGAGGTAATTTGAAATAAGTTTTTCCTTAGCAAAAATGTTATCCGAGACTTTGTTAACGAGATATTAACAAAAACCCCCCGACCAATCAGGGCGCGAATCTGCCGGCCAAATCCCAGCTGTAACGTTGGTCACCCATCGCAGCGCACAGCCAACGTTACCACGGGAACACGGCCGGCAGACTCGCGCTCTAATTGGTCGGGGTTTTTCGTTAAAATCTCGTCAACAAAGCCTCGGATAACATTTTTGCTAAGGAAAAACTTGTTTCAAATCACCTCACGAGTCTCCTATTTCCGGAACCTCCAACATTTTTGTTACACCCTGTATATACAGGGTGGTGTAATAACTTGTTACCGACACAGTCGTAATCGTGAAAATACATACATATGAATTAATTTCTACAAATTAATAAAACTTTTCTAAAAACCTGATCGATGTATGTCACTTTGGTCATTGTAACTTCTGTCGCCTGAGGGATGTTTTATATTCTAATTTTGTTATTTTTAAGAATTTGGATATCAAGCCCAGATAGCACATGACGCCTTAAAGACGCTTATTTTACGGCGATTTTAGGTCTAAGGCGTCTTTAAGCCGTCTTCAAGGCGTCATGTACTACCTGTGAGAAAGAGTGATCGGAGTAGGTTTAGGCTAGTTCAGTTGGCGTGGAGGGGGTTTGGGGGAGGGGCGTGGCCCCTCAGACGACTTTCTACGCTGTCCGAAGTATGCCTAACACGGTGATTATTTTCAAAGGTTCGCTCACTATAATAAATTACGTTGATAAGGTAGGGAATGATACTCAAATGGTAAAAAACTTTTTTTCGAATCGCCAAAAATCCTTCTCGCAGTCATCATTTTTGTCTAGAAACAACCTATTTTGAAAATTTCATCCAATTCGGAGCATGGGGTTTTTTGGAAGTTTAGCCAATATTATCTCTTTATGCTATAGAATTTTTAATTCCAACCTATGTATCTCAGAAGATAAAAAGTACATAGTAATTCATAAACGATTATTTTGTATCGTAATATTTGTCAGTAAGTGTATGTCCCACTTGAACTTTCTTTTTAATTGTAGCAATATTACGTTGCAGTATGATAAATATCTCCTATGTGCAATTTTGTTAAATATTCTGCCAACATTATTTGATAGCATAAGATATTAAAACTTCCATCGTGATGCGATCACTTTGAACAGCTATCATAAAGCTTTTTGAATAGATGAACGTTATTAAAGTACGTGTTTAAAATTCTCTACTCCGTTCATTGCGATTAACTTTAACTCACCACGCTGACTGCAGAGAACTGGGCAAACGCTCTCGCTGCAATCCTCACCCCCGAAACCAGGATTGCACTGGCAGTGACCCAGAAGACATTCACCCTTCCCGCGGCAACCATTTGGACAATTGTGTGTCATGTCTTCAGCAATTACAGCTATGAATGATACTTCCTGAGGATCTCCATCGTCGTTATACAGCGAGAGAAACCAATGGCCAGGTTCCATATAATGAATGACTTCTTTCTTGATTGAAGGCTACAGAAATGATGACCGGTGTATTTTAGAAGCACGTTCAGTCGTTTTTTCATATTTTCTCTTTAAGTTTCTTTAAAGGAAGGTTTTAAAAAATTCTAGAATATCACCACTATGCGAATTTATCTGCTTTATTTGTATAGAAAAATATATAGAGTATGAGAAATTTCTAATAGAACAGCAACTCAATTAATTAATTTAAAGAACTGAAGCAATTTTTAGAGAACAGTAGTGATGTATGGATACTCAAAATCACGGATACACGAGTATTTGGATTGAACCGGAAAAAATCGAGCGAACTTGGGCGGGCATCCACGACAAACGAATGCTCGGGCAGCCTGATGCTTTATGGTGGTACTATCTACCGTTGCAAAGGATGAAGCCTTCAAACCATAAACTTGGCTAGATTTGATATAGATTCAGGGCCTTGTCTCGCATAGACAGACCATGTGACCCTGCACACCATGCGGCTCTTAATAGTACTAATACGTGGGGATGTAATTAAGGAGGTAAACTCAAGTAACAAACTGAAAAAAAATCGATTTTTCTATTGTATTTGTTAATAGCTTAGGGTCTTCAGAATATATTTCCGTCTTTTACGGTGCCGAGCATCTGCGCACAATTACAGGGACAATACGAGAGTGAGGCGACCCCCAACTCCGGAACCGTTTTCCCCCACTCTGACCAGGAGCCGCCATTAGTCATTGGATACCGGCCGATTATTGGGATTATTGGAACAAGGGCTTCCCGTCCAACGAGAGGACCACGCCCCCAAACACCACCGAGACCAGAACACCGATACTGCGGGTGGGGACGACTACAGTAGTGTGCATGCTTGGTATCCGTAAAAAACGTGAGGCCTCTGCACTCACGGATTGCCCTACCCGGACCACGGCTAACACAAGTGCAGTTTTCCTTCCCACGATTTCCACCTCCCCAACCGACCGGCTCATTCTGGATCGAGTTCGCCGTCTCTGGCATAACCCGACACTTTTGGGCCGTTTCGGAAGAGAAGGAAATCACGCGGTCGAGTAAGATCCCTACATTATCGGCTACAATTCACACTCTATTAAGGGGGGAGACTCCTTCGGGGATCGAACAATAGTTAGCGCGGAATATTAGTATTTTTTCATAATGTTTATCTTCAAAAATTGCTCCCAATTTGCTCCCTCGGAATTAGTCTTATTAATAAGAAGCTGTTAAAAATCACACTCCACTGTTGTTGAGTTTACAGAATGTTTTTAATTTTAATTTTAGAAGATTCCGAACGCTTCCTCAAATATGGAAATATATGAAATACGTTAAACAATATTTGAAGGCAACGTGAAGTCTATTTAAGCATTATTTAGTGATCTTTCTTTAATAAATTCATTGCTCAATACTTCTGAAAGACAGTTCGAGATAGAAAAGTAATACAACTTTTTGAGGTTTCGAGAAAGCCGAGAAGTAAGAGTTTTATCGCAGGCGCTCTGGAAATCTGATCACTTGACGTTCCTCTTTAACATATTGTTTAATATATTGCATATAATTCCATATTTGGAAACTTGTAAAATCATTATAATAAATATGCTATAAACTTTATAACTCTTGACTGTGATTTTTAACGGCATCTTATTAATAAGTCATACGTATACATGCATCCAACATTGAAATAATTTGAAACTGAAAGAGATCGTGAAAAGTTCAATTGCGGGACTAAGTAGTATCCAAAAATACATGGACAAAATCAAACAATGGACGGTACTATCGGTGTCAATTACGCGTAGCACAGACAAGATATAAGAATAGACCTAAAATGCATTGTAATATTCTGTCGTATGCTCCGGGGACGTCAGAAGCCCCCGTACTATTTCAGTATTCCATTCCTTGCTAGCGAAACCGGGGAAATAATGTACAGTCGACTCTAAATTTAATGACACTTTCGGGGCTGTAGGAGAGTAAAATGGCATTAAATTTCGAGCCCCCTCCATACTAAGTTCTGTCTCATAGTGTCGGCCTCGGCGCTTGCGCAAAAGCTAGATCATGCTGGTACACCGGCGCACTCAACATGGTGGGAGAGCGAATGTATGTGCGCAAAAGTACGTGTGAAGGGGAAGTGACTCATGTGGCATTAAAGTTAGAGTCTACCGTATGTATGTATCATCAATCCCACGTCAAAACGCACAGAACTGCGGTCATAATCACCGATTTTTTTTCAAATTTACAGCATTTGTTGAAAACCACGAAAAAATGAACAATATCAAATTTTTGAAAAATCGGACGAAATCAGCCGATACGGCTTTACTTCAACCGCAATATTTTAGTGATTTTTAAACATAGAGTATTGATCTTGCTCTCATTTTAAAGCCAAGGAAACGATTTTTTTAACTGTATGCAAACAATTTTGGTTACTGTTAATAAATACAATAATAATTAGAGTTACATTTTCAAATGCCGATTTGACATTGTTCCCACCCATGGATCAATTTGGAGAAAATAACATTAGCTTCCTCGAATCTTCAGCAGTAAAATACTCTTTTTAAAAAGATGGAGCGATTTCAAGGACATTTAAAAAAAAAAGTAACGTCTATCACGGTGTCCGAAGGCTTATAGGGATTGGATACCGTCTCCGCGAACCGAGGTCCCGTGACGTCATCTGACTTGATCGACTTGAATCCGGCTTGGTGTCCTATCACTACACACGCCCCGCGACGTACATGTATTTTTTTTGTTAATGTCCCCGAAATCGCTCCATCTTTTTAAGAAGCGTATTTTAAAGCTGAAGATTCAAGGAATCCAATGTTATTTTCTCCAAATTGATCCATGGGTAGGAACAGTGTCAAATCGATATTTGAAAACGTAACTTTAATTATTATTGTATTTATTAACAGTAAACAAAATTGTTTGCATACAGTTAAAAAAATCGTTTCATTGTTTTTAAAATGAGAGCAAGAGCAATACTCTATGTTTAAAAATTACCAAAATATTGCGGTTGAAGTGATGTCGTGTCTGCTTACTTCATCCGATTTTTCAAAAATTTGACATTAAATATCTCGGAAACGGTCCTAGTTTGGAAGCTAAAATGTGACATGGTTCATTTTTTCGTGCTTTTCAACAAATGCTGTAAATTTGAAAAAAAAATCGGTGATTATGACCGCAGTTCTGTGTGTTTTGACGTGGAATGGCTCATACATACATTATTTCCCTGGTTTCGCTAGTAAGGAATGGAATACTGAAATGGTACGGGTGCTCCTGACGCCCCCGAAGCATGGGACAGAAAATTACAATACATGTTAGGTCTATTCTTCCATCTCGTCTGTGCGTGTAGCTACGGCACTGAAGAGTAGAGGTAAGCGAACAATGGCCGCGCGGCGGTAAAACACCGTGCAATCGTCGCCGAGGGATATTCTTAGAGCCTGTACGAATTGAAAACCGTTCCAAAACTATTTCTGGATGGTGGTTTCTTCACAAATGTCTACAGAATCCGATACTGTGTAGGAAATTCGTGCTAAGTAAAGAACTATTCGTAAAAATGCAAAAATAGTGCAAAGAAAGTATGCACATAGGTTCTTTTATAAATTTCCACGGGAATTTACAACCATTAAAAATTACACAATTTTATAACTATATATACTGCTATATTCAGGAAAGTCTCCTCTATCTTTCAAAGTAAAATGAATTTTATAGCGTTTTTAGTTTTCACATAACGTGTCATTTTTGGCCAAAATCGGGTGTTTATACAGAAACTGATGTTTTTCAAAAACTGAGGGAGATGGAGAAATTCTGCTTACGGATTTCTGACCTGGATGAGAAACTCTATAAGGTTATCCTAATGGACATTGCAGACCAGAAAAATACTTGGACAGTGTAATTAGTTCAGAATGTTAACCTTGACAACATATTTCAACGTCATTGAAATTTTTGAAATCGTCCGTTGTGTCAATAATACTGTTCGACACGTAAAAACCCTTATAGCCTTCAATAAACGTTCCTGATAAATCTTTATGAGCTGAGTACGAATCTGCACACCGCCTTTTTCAGGCACGTACAGTTGTAAAAAAATCAATTTATATGAAATTGTTAGTTTTCAACATTGGATGTGTATTGTACTTTTACAGTAATATTTATTCAGTTACCTTTGACACTAAACAATTCTGTGAACTAGGATATTCAATAACAGAGGTCGCCTTGTCTGCCTCTCAGTGTAACAGACAATTCAGACGATAGGTTTTTTGACCGATTCGGTAATTGTATTTCATTATTTAATCCTCTAGACCGATAGGTAGTAACGTCAGTTGCACGATCCTTTCACAGTAGTTTTAAATTTGACACACAAAAAACAAAGAATGACCACAAAGGTCTCTACTATATAGCAGACTGCGCTGCTTTCCCTGCTTACCATACTACGCTGCACGGTTCTCCATTACGTTTTGCTGAGCGATTCACAACATGCGTTTTGGGAAAAAATGAGGCAACTGCAGAGACAAATTAGTAAATATGATAGTACGTCATCAAGATCACGGAGCAGATCAGAGAGATAAAATTTTGCCCATCTCTGGACTGCAGTCACGGTTCACTGTACATGTCAAGCACAGTTCAACTATGTCTTTGCCATGTCGCGATTCCAAACGCCGACTCTGGTTCGACGTGCTTCTCGGATGACGTTCAACGTCATCTTTGTCATTTCTCGACTGATGTTGCGTATAGTCTGACGTGCCTCTTGTGCACGGTCGTATATACAGTTTCGGAAACTCTCATGGAAGGAGTGGTTCCTTAGTGAAGAAGAAAGTTTCGTAAATCTTCCGCTAGCCACACAGCGCTGCTACCGCAATGTACACGTATAATATGTATACCTACCTATGTCACGGCGATAAAAGTTAAAAAGGTCTAAAACTTTGTGTTCCTTGCGGAAGCACATAGAGATAGTTCGCGCCACTTTCGCGTTAAATTAAAAAATAAATAAACAAAAACTAATTAAATAATGACTATTAATTAATAATTAATATTGAATAATTATTAATTAA